CGGGTGCTGCCCACAGGGCCTGTCGGCTGCCTGGGCCCCGCTTCCATCCCCCTGGTTCCCACCCTCAGATCACAGGTGGCCGTCAGCTTCTGTGCACTTTCTGTGTGGAATGTGTGATTTGTTAGGGTAACTTGTTTCCCCCATCGTTACAAAGTGTTGCTCACGTCTGTGCCCAGTGCCTGGCTCAGAGAGGCAGCCTGGTAAGTATCTGGTGAAATTCACCCCCGACTCCCTCACCCTCCGAAACCAACCGATCCTGCCCGCTAGGTCTCTGCTGCCCCCCAGGTTTCTGCTGCCCGCCCCCCACTTCCACCCCGGGGCCCTCCTCGCTCGCCTGGACCTGCACCCGCGGCCTCCCCCCTCCTCCGCTGCGCCCGTCATTTCCCTGCCAGGCACCCACGGCAGCAGACACAGCAAGGCCTGGACGCGGCATTCGAGGCTCCTCAGGAGTGACCGCTCCCGAACTCCCGGGCACCCTACACTCGAATCCCGAGTGCGGGGCCCGAGGGGGTGCCACCCTCTGGGTCTTTGCATCCACTGCCTCTCCTGCCCGCAGGCAGCCTTCTCCTCCCGTCCACTAGGCAAGCAGCTATTCAGATCAGAGCCTCGGCTCAGGCCCACGGCCTCCATGAAGCCCGCCCGGCTCCCTCCCCGCTCTGCGTAGACTCACGTCCCAGCACTTCGCTGATTCCCTTCCTGTTAGTCCCTCCCACTGGCCACCCGCTGAGCTTCACCACCCGACTGGCTGCGTGACTTGGTGAGCAGGGGTCAGCGGACACCTGCTGGTCACGGCATAGGGCGGGCAGAAGCCACCAAGCTCCTGCTGCCCCCGACTGCCTTCGCCAGCCCCACCCTTCCCAGCAACACAGACTGGCTGCCCACTTTTCAGACGAGGAGACTGAGGCTCAGAGAGGCCAAGGCCCCTCTGGGCAGCCACAGAGCTCAGGCAGCAGGTCCGGGCGGGTTCGGCTGAGGCCCTGCAGGGCGGGCAGGACAGGGCCCGCATTCTGGTGGGTGGAGGGTCTGAGCGCTGTGCGCACCATGTGGGGACGTGCCCGGTTCTACAGCTGATCCCAGCTGAGCCCGGGGTCTGACGTGGGAAGGCTGCTATTCCCATGTCCAGGGACGTGCGACCTCTGCCCCGTGTCCTGTCTGTGAGATGCGGGTCTTGCGTGTGCCCACCCCGCTGCTGCGAGGATGAAACGCCGGCCTGGCCAGGAGTCCACCTCAGGTTCGGCCGCGGCCAGGATCTACGCACCCAGCTCCCCAGCCACAGACTAAAAAAAGGGAAAACCCGGGGGGGAGTCTAACGGCCACGAGGAAGCCAGCTGTCCTGGCGCAGCCGCTCTGGAATCCGACAGCTGGGACCTCACTCTCAGCCTGCTGCGGGCTGCTGGGGAGCTTGGGGGGGGACATGGTGCAGGCGGCCCCACCCAGCCCTGTCGCCACCCGAGGAACTTGCCCTGGCCTTGCACTGTCACCTCCTGTCTGAGCAGCCCCGCCCACCGGGTCACCTGCGCTCTCACCCCACCGCCCACCTCCAGCCCCCACCCAGGCTGGCTCAGAGCGGGTGTGGTTTAAATCCCAGCTCTGGGCTTCCTGGCTGCACGCCTGGGCCAAATGTCTGCCCACCGTGCCTCAGTGTCCCCATCCACACAATGGGACTCAGCACAGCTCCTGAGGGAGGCCATGGGGGGCCGGCGTCCGGCAGCTGTGACAGGTGAGGAGGGCCACAGAGGCTCTGGGGCCATCTGCTCTGTGGTTTCTCAGTCTCTCCCTCCGACCAGCACGTGAGGTGGGGACTGTCACACCCGGGGAAACACAGTGCAGGCGGCCCCACCCAGCGTCACACCCAGCCTGGAGCCTGGCCCACAGCCCTCCACCCCCTGCCCCGCCCAAACGTGGGGGTGGGGGTGAGGGTGGGGGGACAGGCAGGACCCGCTCCTTCCCTTTCTCTCTGGCTGAGGTTCCAGCTTCTCCCAAGTCCAAGTTGGGTAAACAAACCCTGCTGAGCCCCCGGAGAGGAAGGGTGGAGAGGGCGAGAGGGCCCATGTGACTTCTCCTGCCCCCAAAACAGAAGTGAAACCCCAGAGGCCCCAGCTGTGGCCACCTTGACCAGAGGAGGGCAAGCCCAGCAGGGCAGGGCCAAGGTCCC